AGGAGATCTTTACTGGCTGTTTAGAACAGATGTTGGCAAACTGTAGTCCTAGGGCCGGAGTCAGCCTGCAGCCTCTTTTCAGAGGGCCCATAAACTAAGATTTTTGGTCGAATGGTTGAAAAAAATCAGAAGATTTTGTGAGACGTGAAGATAAAATTCAAATGTCAGTGTCCATAAGTAAAGTTTATTGGAACACAGCTGTGCATGGCTTTGCACGTCTGGCTACATTTGTGGTACAGTGGCACAGTTGAGTATTTGCAAGAGAGACCCTAAGGCCCACACAGCCGAAATTGTTTACCACCTCAGTCTTTACCATAAAAGTTAGCTTACTCCTAGTTTAGAATGTCACTGCGTTAGGAGGGTGATTTTTTTTTTTTAATAGTAAAAACTCTGTTAAAGACAGCTGGATACAGGCAACTATAATTGAAGTTTTGTTTCATTTGTTAAACAAACTTCTATCAAAGTGCCCATATGCCAGTTTCTAACAATCTTTTTTTTTTTTTAAGAGAAGGGGAGAGAGGGATGGGGAAGGGCAGAGGGAGAGAGAGAGAGAATCTTAAGTAGACTCTTTGCCCAGCATGGAGCCCGAATCCATTCAGCGGGGCTAAATCTCAGGACATCTATTCCAGTTTTATTTTGTTTTTGTTTTTGTTTTTTAAGTATAGCCTTATATAAGTGAAAGTTAATCTGAAATTTTTTATAGTCCTGTTTTAGCTGATTTAAGTTCCTTTTTCATAGCAGTGTTATGGCAGGAATGTAGATTTGACCCAGGCCCAAATAGGGCCAAATTGCTGGAAAGCATTGCTGTGTGGCCATTAAAACTACAGCAGACCCACAATCGTAAAAACAAAATGCATCCTTATGATCCCTCTTCATTTAGTCTTTTATTGCTTGTGGAGGCTTCAGTCTATGTTCTTTGCTGGTTATAGAGTGTGGGCAAATGTGGTTTATTAGCAGGAACTGGTCGAGGTGCTCAGGGGCAAGAGGGGAGCTCAACTCAGAAATGCTTCCCCATCAATGACTCGTGCATCTCCTCCCACCGCACCCCAGCACTTATTATCTGTGCTGTGTCTTAAAAATTTGTTTTGTTCTTGCCTCCCGTCTGGACCTGATGGTGGTGAGAAGGAGTATTTTTTCAAGATCACATATCTTTGGGGTAAATCAGCAAATGGTTAGGATTTTTAATTGCACGAGCCATAAATTCTCAGTAGAGTCGTAAGCACTCTGAAATCAGCCTACAAGTTGATCAGTGTTGTTGCAGACGCTGGAATGACCCAGGCCCACAACGCTTTGAAAGGAGAAAAGGCTATTTTCTTAATCTCCGCAGGAAATACATAACTCATGCACCTCTTAGGCTTATCCAAACCTCCAACTTGGGAGGAATTAGGGAATGTGTCATTTGGTATACTGCTGATTGCCGAATATCTCAGAAACCACAGCTCAGATTTAACCTGGAGAATTGCAGTTATGTGTCTTTAAAAGCAAAATGCATATTTAATGCCTTACACAGTGCATTGAGGCACTTACAAAATGCAGATGAGCCCAGATTTTCATTTTTAGGAATCAGATTTATACCTAGCTCATTCTTTATGCATTAAACATTTTCGTAGTGCAACTTGCCATGTAGAGCTGAAACTGTACTCGTGTAATTTAGCCTTTTCAAAATGAGGTCTGTCATCACCAATGTTAGGGACAAGACTGGAATTAGGGCGAGGCGCCTGGGGTGTAGAATTTAAGGAAGAGCTCACTCGAGGTGCCAGCCCTGTATTTGCGAGACCTTGAGGAGGGTGAGTGCCTTCTTAAATTCCACACCTGATGTGCTTCTCTTGCCTCACCCTCATCCTACCCCCAGTCAGGGTCTTTTTTGTAAGTCCACTAAAAAGGTGCATTGCTGGGTCAGATCCTTGGCTTACTGAATCTCTGGGATGGGGGTAGGGGTAGGGGGCAAAAATGTCTATTTTTTTTTTAGTTTTTATTTTCTTAGTACTTCGAACACACATTAATGTTTAGAGACCTTCTGGGCTTGGTTGGCCAGGCTAAGGACCAACAGGACAAAGCTGCTCTGCTAGCCTCGGGTTACAACCGGCCTGAGACGGTAGCTTAAAAATCTGCCCAATTAACCAGCACACGGGAACAAGTAGGCCAGCCGGACTGCACCACTTGCCAGCCCTGGCCGTTGTGTAACTGCCACCAGGTGTCACGCTGGAAGGCTTGGATCTTGAGCACTTGTAGCCAGAGCTGAATGTAATTGATTATGTAATTTTGAGCTGTTCCAATTTTTTTAATTAAAAAAATGTTTTATTGGTTCATTATTAGCTACACGTACACCGTAAAAAAAAAAAAAGAGAGAGAGAAAATAAGTCAAAAGAATAAAGTAGAAACTATCCATAATCCTTTTACCCAGAGGTAACCATCGTTAACATATTAAGGTACCCTTTCAACCTTTTTTTTCCCTATTGAATTAATATTTTAATTCCACTCTAAGAAATCTAATCATTTGGATTAGGAAGGATGGGTGACAAAAGGAATGTCGATGGGAGGGAATCATCTTAGGACCTCGATTCCAGTCTAAGTCCTATCCTATTACCTTTGCCATCTCTGTGTAGACCTCCCCTCTCACCTACAATCTCTGTGTTAAAGAAGAATTCACCTGGCCAGGTAGATGGTGGATAGCTTCTTGTAAGAGTGGGAATAGAGCCCCTAACACAGCAAAGTCAACCTTGGGCTCTTGTCCCAGGTCCCTTCTTAGTATTCTAATCGAATTCCTTGGACTCCGAGGAACTTGGTTTTTTAGAGGGGACTTAGTGGTTCAAAGAGCTCTTCCTTTGTGTGTCTGCCGCAGGTCAGACTCTGCTCCGAGTCAGAGGTACAATCAGGGAGATGTGGTTCTGCCCTTGAGAACGTAGAGTCTGATGGAGGAGGCAGCCCAGGAGGTTGTGTAAGAGTGTCAGGTGCTCTCGCATGCTGCGGGAAGAGGGAGGAGACACCAACCAACTTGGCTTTGGAGAGTTGAGGATGGCTTGGAACAGGAGATGACACTTGAATGGAGTCCAGAGAGACCTGCCTTATGGCGCCTGCCGTCTTCAGCAAATAGCATTCTCCTAAAGTTCCACTGTTTTTTTGTGTTCTGTCCTACTTTTCAGCGCAATCACACAGTTGCCCATGATAATTAAATGAGACTTGCCAGATGGATACTTTCGCAAGACGATGGCTCGTCTTCTTGCTCTATTTGTGAAAGCTGGCATTGGATCCAAACTCTCAAGGATGCCCCTACCTTGAGATCGCTTTGGAGTGCCACTCTTTTGTGTGTATTTGCCAAATGGCCTGCCCATGCGTCGGGCCAGGCTGAGTGACAGGTGGGTGTGCCATGCATGTGGACACTGATCCCTGCCAAGCCGTTTTGCCTGCAAGGAGGTGAGGTGCTGAGAGGTGGTTCTACAGTGGTCCCTTCCCTTGAAGAAATACACTCCTGAGCTTCCGATCTGTCGGTCCCTATCTTCTCACCATATACAATTTTGCTATCAGTTGCAAACTAATCAAGGTCAGATTCCCAACGCGTCGGGTTAAAACACTCATTGTCACACTATCTGAAGATTTTTAGATCACTGAAGAGAATATTCCTGGTGGCAAACACAGTTGAGGGGTAGCAAACTTGATTAACCAGAGAGGGTAGGTATTCTGAAATAGGAAATGATAGCTGAACCATTAATAAATTAATGGTTAATAAAACTGTCTCGTGTCTGCGAAACATTCTTCCTCCTTTGGGTGCTCCATCTCATTTAATTGTCCCAGCATCGTTATGAAATGGGGACTGTTGCTATTCCCACATGACACACAAGGAGGCTTGATGGAGAGACAGTTTATTGGTAAACGTGGGAGCCGGCAGCAGGACACCCTTCATTCCCCACACACACAGTGGGGTGCATCCCATTCTGTGTCTGATGTCATACTGAGGATCCAGGGTGAGCGCCAGGCTGAGCGCATCCCCGCCCCTGCCATCAGATCCTTACAGGTCGGCTTACTTGTTCTCTAAGGCTTAGACCCCTTCACTTATATTTCCTGTAGAACAACTGAATGTAATAAGTTCATTTTCCTTTCACTTTAGAAAATAATCTCAAGAATTTGCAGTGCTTTTAGGCACCCTTGATTGAATGAATATCAGTTGATTATTGTCGTTCCCCAGAAATGTCAAATTAGAGCATGCCTGCTGATACAACCTACTTTTTCAGTGATTATATACAAGTTTAGATAGACATGTGAATAAAACTCTTGGGCTGGTTTCCTCTTAAAATTTTCTGTCCATATTTTGCATTTGAAATACAAATTTGGAGTTTAAAAGCCCATATTGTATTTTACTCTTATGTTTTGGCTTCTCCGTAAATAGGGTGATTCAGTTCTTTTATTTCCACCCACTCCCTTCTGCCCCCACCCCTAAAAAAGAGGACATTCTTGGAGGGGGGAAGTGGGTGGGTGGGTGGGTGGGGGCTTCTCATTTCCTAGAACTCCTCTTAATTTTATCCATCCCAGTCTGTGCCATAACTTGAAATTCTCTATGACAGGTTCAGTGATTTGAAAGTCTGATGGCAAGAATCTTAAACACGATTTCCACCTTCACAACAGTTTGGAATCCTAAAGTTTGGATTAGAAGCAGTCTTGCAAATTCTGCCCCCCACCCCCCAACTGGAAGCAGAAACCCGGCCAGGGGTCCTGCGAACGCCACCTCCGTTCACTCGACCCCAAACAGGGAGTTCTCACCTGCAGTGTGGACAGTCCACAATGGAGCCAGGCAGCTCTAAACGGGGGGAAACCCTTTCCTGGTCTGACCCTCGCTTCTGCCTCCCTGTGCCTTCCACTCACTGGTTCCGATGCTCCCCTTTGAATATGTTCCCTCAGGGTCCTCTTAAAACTCAAGAAAGTTCTAAGGATTTGGAAACCGTGGAGGGGAGCCTTGGTGAGGTATTCCAGCAGTCTGACCTATGGCCATTTCTCTTTTCCTACAGCAAAGCCAGAAATCCTGACCCATGAAAGTCTCACGAATGGCATGCTCCAGTGTGTGGTTGCAGGATTCCCAGAGCCCGCAGTAGATTGGTATTTCTGTCCAGGAGCTGAGCAGAGGTGAGAGGATTATTTTGGCTACTACTTAACGTGCACGAGGGAAGGACAGCAGGGTAGTTGAACTTCAGATAGGTTTTCAGATTCTTTTTTTTAAAGCTTTGTTTGATTATCCTTTTTTTCCCTATCCATGTGGCTTTTTAAGGGGGGCATAATTGCTATATTTTTCGTGGTAGACATTAATTTTGTTTGCTGAGAAATGATTACTGAGTGACTTACTTCTCTGTTTTGGTGGTTATCTTTTGGATTTATCATGCAATTTCTAGCCTGCAGGTAGATAAAGCAATTTTCCAGGACAGAGTAATTAGATTTCCATTCTGTACACAGGAGGCAATGTGTGTGGGAGATGTGGCTGTAGTTTTCATGAAAAAAAATTGCCTCAGAAGTTAATTGCCAAGTTACCAAAAAGTAATGATCGTGCAGTTACAACATACATACGGCATTTGTAAGCTGCGGGTTTTTAAAAGGTTTTTTTTTTTCCTCCTTAATTAGGTGCCCGGCCCCTGAGCAGAGCACATCTGGCAGGGTGCTTCCTCTCCCTTCCAATCTGCACTTAAGCCTTAAATTGTCCTTTCACATTACCTGAAGATGAAAATGGGGTCACCATGGCTGTTTTTATCCATCAAATGCTATTTTGCGCTCGGGCTTTAAAAGCCCAGTGTAACATCACAATTGAATAGTCAGGATAATAATAGAAATTTTATTTCTCACAGAATAGTCCTTTTTATCACAACACGTTGGAAGAGGTTACATAGGATTGTTGTTTTCAGCGGCGTTTTAGTGGAATGTTTTCTTCGGGGAACAGTAAGAAGGACCCGAGGCCCCTGGAAAAGCCCCTACAGTGGAAGTAACCCCAGCAGTTACTGTTCTCCATACAGCAAATATTTATGGGGTGCCACTTGTATGCCATACCCTGGTCTAGTGAGCCAAACACACCTCGGAGTCCCAGCTTTGTGAGTTTATATCTAATGGGTAGAGAGAGGTGAGCAAAAGATGAAATAAACAGTTAAGTGCTAATGAGAAAAATAAAGCAAGGTATAAGGGAATAGAAAAACATTAGGTATATGGGGGCATAATTTAAAATGGGGGTCCAGCCCCTGATGGATGGGCTTTGCTACCTGGAGTACAAGCCAGTGGTCCGGCCTCTGTCTCCCTCTAAAACCTGGATCAGGATCTTGGCTGCTGGGATTTGGGGGGCTGACCTGCCTTCATTCTTGTAGACTTGAACTCTCTCCTCCTCTAAGCTCTTTTTTCAACCCTCACACATGTACCCTTTCACAGTTACTTTATAAAGGTCTACTGTGTGCCAGCTACCTTTCTTCCATTCATTTCCAGCCCTTTCCGTAACTCTCCAAAGTGGGTATTACCATCCCGAGCTTCTAGCTGTAGAAACGGAGTCCTGGAGGGTTTTAAGTAGCTTGTCAACCAAACAGGTATTTGAATCTGGATTCAAACTCCTGTCTCACTCCCCATTTCTTCCTTTCCGCCCTGCTTCTCTTGCTCACGGCGCCAGGGGAGTGCTCATGCATCCTCACACCCTTGGTTGAAAAAGGACATTTCTGATTATGACCCACTCCCTTAGTTTTAAACGTATGCCAATTCCAATGTGATTGATTGATTGATTGATTTTCCTAGAGTAAATCTGGGCTGTTATTTTCTCTTCCCTCTAGATGTTCTGTCCCTATTGGGCCAATGGATGTGCAGATGCAAAACTCGTCTCTGTCACCGTCTGGAAAACTAGTGGTTCAGAGTTCCATCGATTATAGTGCCTTCAAGCACAATGGCACAGTCGAGTGTAGGGCTTACAACAATGTAGGCAGGAGTTCTGCCTTTTTTAACTTTGCATTTAAAGGTAACAGCAAAGGTATATTTCTTTTTAATCCAATTTAAGGGGATGTTTAGGCTCTGCCTGCCATATCAATCATGATTTTAAGTCCATTCCATCAATGGCCATGTCATTTCTGGTAATTTCCACATTATACCATGCTGTCATCAAACTCACTAAGTTTCATCCTGTACTAGTTTGTTAATAACATGTACTCAGTGATTTTTAACCACATACATATATATTTACATGTGTATATGCACGTATGTATGTACGCATGCGTGTGTGTGTGTGTGTGTATGTATGTAGTGAATCGCGTATTTCCAGTCATTCCTACTGAAAAGGGGCGGGGAAAGAAAATAGGGAATTATATTTGCCTCACAGCCAGATATAACCAGAATTAGGGCAGTTAAAAATTTTAAATTGAGTTTAAAATTTTACTCCTTGAAAATCGTTTATTTGAACACATTGCCGGATGCTATACAAGAAAGTTAACATTGCCTTTTATGAAGTTATGTCAGTGAGCCATTTCTTTCGTGTCTGTCAGATTTGATTCATGAGGGACTACCTCTGAACATTAAGTTAAATGATCCTTGTGGATACATTGATGAATTGGTATGAAGTTGGAAGACAAAGAAGCTGGGCATCTACATTCCCAGGGCTTAGTTTTGTTTTCTTGAGTTGGCAAAGATGTGTGCCAATAAGTGGTATACTTCCGGTTTTTGAGTAATGAGGGGAAGAATCTTACATTGTTCTTCATCACAGGTTTTTTTTTTCCCCTCAGGCAATGAAAAGAACACTTTAAAGATATTTTCTTGGTTGTAAAAGAAATTCTCATCAGTGTAGAAAATTTGGGAAATACAGGAAAGCGTAAGGAAGAAAATATAACTATCCGTAAAGGAAACTTCTTAAAGTTGTCCAAGGCAGGAATTTAGTTGAAATACAAAGTTCATTTATTATGTTGCTTTTTATTGACAAAACAGCCATAAAATTATTTGTGGGCTACAGAAATCTCAACTTCCACAGTAGTCTGGTTTGAAGTTGTTCCTTCAAGAGATCCCTTTGAATAACCAGAGGAAGGTAGTATTAGCAAGGCAAGGAGTTTATGAGATGCCCTTGGCTTTGAATCCTGCCATGGTCTGTAAGGCGGGGGATGGGTGAGTTTGGGGTCAGGTGGTTGTCATGAAGCTCCACCCCTGCTAATACGTTGTGATTCCACATTCCCCTTTCATTTTAGAACAAATCCATTCCCACACCCTGTTCACACCTTTGCTGATTGGCTTTGTGATCGCAGCTGGAATGATGTGCATTATCGTGATGATTCTTACCTACAAATATCTACAGGTAATCATTCATTTGTTCTCTACCCTAAGTGCTATAATGATCGAAATGTTATCATTAAAAGATGATCTGTCTCTCTTTTCTCCCCCCACCAGAAACCCATGTATGAAGTACAGTGGAAGGTTGTTGAGGAGATCAATGGAAACAATTATGTTTACATAGACCCAACACAGCTTCCTTACGATCACAAATGGGAGTTTCCCAGAAACAGGCTGAGCTTTGGTCAGTATGAAACAGGGGCTTTCCATGTAATGTTTTTGTGTACGTGTAACAATGACTTTAGGGAACCCCATTAGCTTCCTTTGTTCTGTTCCAACTGAGACAATAAGTATTTTCTGTGAAGTTTCATCACTTTTGATAGATTCCGCATAAAGCACCTTATAGAGAAATGTCTCTAGCTGGATTTGTCCTTAATTCCTTAACAATTCCTCGATTGTTGACTTTGAAATTACCCAGATGCTCCTTTGGTCCTACCACCATCCCTTACTCTTTTCTTCCTTTCTGCAGGGAAAACTTTGGGTGCTGGTGCCTTCGGGAAAGTGGTTGAAGCCACTGCATATGGCCTGATTAAGTCAGATGCGGCCATGACCGTTGCCGTTAAGATGCTCAAACGTAAGTTTCTGCAGGTGGCTGCATGCCCTCAACATTGGCTTGCCAAATTTGCTTCTTGCTAAAATGAAATTTTTTTCTGATTTTTAGCAAGTGCCCATTTAACCGAACGAGAAGCCCTAATGTCTGAGCTCAAAGTCTTGAGTTACCTCGGTAATCATATGAATATTGTGAATCTTCTTGGAGCATGCACCGTTGGAGGTAGGGCCATGACCAAATTAACTTTCATTATCTTTTGAATTATCTAAAGAGGGGAGATTTTAATATGATTGCGACAGTGCTTGGTTATATCTTATTGCAAGATTTTTACCCGGGTTGTTACCTCTTGTAGATGTTTCACACCCCTGCCCCAAAAGCCATTCTTAAGAATGTATATTTGAGTTTTATCATCATGGGGACATGCCCTAGTTACTGTCATTGGCGTTGCATCAGTATCAACCTCTTGAGTATCTTGAGAACCTCTCATCTCTTCCAGAAAACTTTTCTTTTATCTTGCAAGCTATTTTACCGGAGCATATCTAGTCACTAAAGGGTTACTATCCATAATTAAAGATAGACTTTGAAGCCTGCAAATTCTCCAGTACACACCAAATGAGACAAACACTTCACCTCGGCAAAAAAAAAGTAAATTTCCAGTTGGAAGCAATTCTGAGGTAGAGCCTTCCATCAAGGATTTCTGCGATGTTTCCAGAAAACCTTTTGGTCTAAAGGAACAGAGATGTGTAAAATGAGCCATTCCTCAAGATGTACTGAGGTTCACGGTCAAGTTGACAGCTTAACTTACTTCTTAAAACAGCCCCCATAAATGTTGCTTCCACATCATGACCTGTTGGTAAAAATTCCTGCCCAAGTTAATCGGGTGCCTCTTGACTTCAGAGCTGCAGCGTGAGGTTTAATTACAGCCCCGGAAACACTGGTGGCCGGTAGTGCTCGGAAGGCAGGTGGTGTCCTGGCGTGCCAGGTGCTCACCCTCTCCAGGGTCATCTCAGCTGGCCATCCCGTGCCATTGGTTTTCCTCTGAGGCTGCACTTTCTGCCCTTCATCATTTCCATAATAACATGAGGAGAGGGTGTGAAGCCCTTTTGCAGACCGAAGTGGATGGAAGGATCCGTGCAGGAAATTATGATGATTGTAGGATATTGTTGAAAGTTGGTAACTTGGATGTAAGTCAGGCCAGGCCCCGAGCACTGACCTCACTTAGGAAGGGGTAAAAGGAGGCTTACTTGTTGAGTTGTCCTCCTCAGAATGCTGGTTTTTGCTAAGCCTGCTAAGTATTTGCCTTATCAATGAACCTGAATGAAAATGGTCATGATGGCCCCTGAGTCTATTTAAAGGGGGCAGGGTCGTCTAGAGAGCTCACCTCTCTTTAACCTTCTCTTACATATCTGCAGGGCCCACCTTGGTCATTACTGAATATTGTTGCTATGGTGATCTTTTGAATTTTTTGCGAAGGAAACGTGATTCATTTATTTGCTCAAAGCAGGAAGATCACGGAGAAGTGGCACTTTATAAGAACCTTCTGCATTCAAAGGAATCTTCCTGGTAAGACTGATTTACATAAATAGCTGTCAACAGGCAGTTCAGGGGGTCGAAAGGGTTTGCAATCAAGGCTGATTCTTTAAACAAATGAACAGAGGTACTTCGAGGCGCGCCAAATCAGAATTATTAAATCATTTAGGTGTCGTCAACAATTTAGAAAGTTTGAATGGCGTTTGTAAAGATTTAAATAGTGTTGAACTTAGATTTTTATTGATTTTTTAAATGCATCTTTAGTTTTTTTTTTCAAAGTGTTCTGTTCAATTGAATAATTCTGTACTTGTTTCACTTATCAGGGCTCTATTCTCGTGTGTCCTTTCATTTATTCTGTTGGGCTTGGAACTGTATGCATCTCTGCAGTGAGACACTGTTTGTAGGAAAAATGCTAAAGTCTGTCAAGTTGTCTTGGTAAATTTCTCGAAAACCTTTAACGGAGTGGCAAAAGAGCTCTGAACATATCTCTGCACGTAGGTTTCTCACCATCTACCTCTGAATTATTTCCGTATACCTTGCCCTTCTTTTAAAAAAAAAAAAACAAAACTCAGTCATGCTATAAAAAGGCACGATTCTAGCACGTGTTTAAAAATTCTGTACCTTATTTTCATCTCTTTTCCTCTTTAATATCCTTCTGAATTTGAATGACGTACAAAGAGCTTCAGATTCCTTTAAGAATAATTAGTGTGGCTTAACAACCAGAATAGGATTCCTCTCTGCCTGGCCTTGCCTGTTCTTTCCAAAGGTTGAGAAAGATTTCCTAGATGCACCCAGCCCAACAGAAATCATATTCATCATGCCCAATCCCTTATACTTTATATTTCTGAAGTTGTGTGGTGGATTTTTTCCTCTCCTTTCTATTTGTTCTGTCCCCTACGTTTTGAGATGGCAAGACTGTGTTTCTTAAACTTAGCTCCAGGCCCTCGAGAAGGCCTCAGCAACTATTATTGATGGGTGGTTACTTCTTAAAGACCTTTTCTGTACCCCTTGACTAAAGGGTTTCTTCACCCCAGGTGAAGCCTTTTCATTTTCCTTTTTTTTTTTTTTTTTTTAGTCCTATAGACTTGGGTAGTGTCAAGTGGTAGTAAAAACACATTACAAACCACCTTTTGTTAGTTTCTCCAGAGCATATGCTCCTTATGTGAATAAATGAGCCACTTTGCCTTATTTCTAAAACCTTGGCCCCATACATGTTTTTCAACTTGCTGAAATAATGGCTCAAATTGTTCTATCCGATGTCGTGTTCTTTGTGCTTTGGGATCCCATATGGGACTGGAACCACCAGCACACTCTGAAGGAGATTGTTGTCATAGTGTTTCTATGCTAATCAGAAGCAGGAAGTACTAGAAATCTTGAAGACTTTCCAGCCAAATGTTGCAGATTCAAGAGGTCCAGATGGTTCAGAAAATCATCCAAATTATTGGTGTTTATCTGAACTAAACTTGGTTTTTTTAAACCTTCTTCCATCAGTCGCTCTATGTTAGCGATCCCTGCCTTCCTCCCCATCACACATCTCAGAGCTCTTGCTCTTCTCGTCCTTCTTGTGTCTTTCATCTTGTCTCTTGGGGCTAATTTAGAGACTTTGAGGGAACAGGGGATACTGTTTATGGTTCTCTGTTTCCCATTACACCTCTGGTGTCAAGAGATGGGACATTTCTAACCTGAGTCCCATCTATGAACACAAAAGAGACCGTCTCATTCCTGGGCATCGGGCCCTGATGTTGAATATTAAAAACTCCTGTATAATGAACAAGCTTTTCTTCATTCAAACCTAGTAATACTTTCTCTGAATAAAATCAGCCTCTTACGTAAAAAGGCAGTGGGGAGATAGAGCCTGCCCCATGGAAACTCCCCCATTTTCCCATTTTATTCAGTCATAATTTGACGGATGGATATTTCATCTCTCACAGCAGCGACAGTACTAATGAATACATGGACATGAAACCCGGCGTTTCTTACGTTGTGCCAACCAAGGCAGACAAAAGGAGATCTGCGAGAATAGGTGGGTACCTATCAAATAATAAAAACAACTTCATTTACAAAGGCTTTCTCATACTGCTGGGAAATACATTACCATGCCCCATAGTGACTGGTTCTCCTTTCCAGGAGGGCCCGATGGCAAAGCCACTGGTCAGTGGCAGGTCAGGGTTCCAAGTGAGCATTGGGGTGAGAGAGTGTTCGTTATCGTATAGGAGCATCTCACTGCACGAATGAAGATATATGTGTATCAACTATGTATTTTACACATCAAAAAAAAATAGGAGATTTGTGTATTTATCCACCATCCTTCTCCCCTGAAGCCCCAGACTGTGAATATGAACTTGGTGCTTGGGCACTTACCTTTCCTCAACGCTGGGTGGGTGACTTGCCTGCGCGGTCACATCAGTTCCTTATTACCAACCTTTGGTATTCTTGTTGTGCTGTCTTCTGTTTTCCAAGCTTTGAGGCTTAATTGCTAAGAAAGTCCTTCTTCTCCTAACAGGCTCATACATAGAAAGAGATGTGACTCCCGCCATCATGGAAGATGATGAGTTGGCTCTAGATCTAGAGGACTTACTGAGCTTTTCTTACCAGGTGGCCAAGGGCATGGCATTCCTGGCCTCGAAGAATGTGAGTGGATGTGGTTCTCGAGGAGCATTGCCACCACCCCCCCCCGCGCCGTGCCAACCCCCACAACCCCCTAACCCCAGTGGCGCATTTTAGAGTTCATAGTTAGAATGCACAGTGTTGTTTTGAAGTGTGGTAACCCAAAACAGGGGAAATTTCATTTCTTCATGTTCCAACCGCTATCTTTTTAGAAATCCTATTCTCATTTATAAGCTTTAAAGTGTAAGCCTGTCTAAATGAACTTTCTATGAATTTTTTTTTTTAATGTAGCAAATCCATTTAAAAATCCTGGCTCTTAGAATACAGGAGCTGCTCTTAGAAAATAGAGAATGGTTTCATCAGCAAAGGGAGGAGGTACCTCATGCAATTGCAGTGCTTGGTGAAGCACATGCTTGGGTCTTGTTGAAGTTGGGCCTCAGATATCGTGTGGCTTCATGAAGTGTGGGGGAATAAGGAATCGGAGAGAATAATAAGCATTTGGGAAAAAGGTAGAAATGGGAAGAGAACGAAGGAACCAAAGCAAGGAACATGGTCTCCGGAAGGGTGAGAGGAATTCAGTAGCAAATGAGACTAGCAGACCAGGAGGAGGGAACAGATCCTACCCTTAAGTGTCATTGGTGACATTTCCAAACAATTACGAAACTAAAAGAGGGATATAGGATGGCTGAAATAAAGAGCCTCTTCCCTGTGTCCTCGGGAGACATCAAATTGGAGTTGCAAAGACATTTTAAAAACTCTATAAAAGGACATTCAAAGAGAAGCATGCAAAATGAGGTTTTGGTTTAAAAAATATGATACGACTATTTATAATGTATTTTCCTATGAATGAAAGCAAGTCATAAGAAGAAAAAAAAATTATTCGAGTTGGTTTGGAAAGCGATTATCGTAATTAAGGTCCTAAACGATGTGAAACACAAATTTTGAACATCATTCAGAGCATAATTTAGATCTTTATTTTTGGTGCACCGAAGAGTTTCAAGGCAAAGCCAAGGTACTGGATTTGTGTGACATAGCAGCATTCTCGTGTTGAACAGAGTTTTCATTCTTGAAGAGTTTAAAATAAATGTAAATGGTTTTCTTTTTCTCTCCCACTCTCCTAATAGTGTATTCACAGAGACTTGGCTGCTAGAAATATCCTCCTTACTCATGGTCGAATCACAAAGATTTGTGATTTTGGTCTAGCCAGAGACATCAAGAATGATTCTAATTATGTGGTCAGAGGAAACGTGAGTACCCACTCTGCTTGACAGTCCAGTGAAGGATTTTAGTTTCGAGTTTTTCTAAGAATTGCTTTTTATGAGTTTCCTAATGCAAATCCTACCTTTGAGATACCATGTATTTTAGCAGTCAGATTAAGTGTACTTCAGCAAAATTTGCATGGTAGGCTGAACATTACTACAACTAACATTCCGATAATAGAATTCCTAATTCTAATTGTGTAATTATGGGGCATGTGAAGGAAACAGAAATAGCCTTAATTTTCATTATAGCCTGAGAATAGCAATGAACTCTATTTTGTTCAAGTGAAACAAATGTGGGCCTGAAGGTCACAGCAGGGGAATTTTACTTGGAGATTGACATGCTATGCGCAAAAGATTAAAATCTAAGATAATGTTCAGAATTAGGTATGTAGAATGTTGGATCTTCTAATCAATAGAGAGCATATTAAATAGGTTCGTAAGTAATAATTGGGTTAGAGAACATAGTGATTTTATTTCAAAGTGCTTTATGTCCCTGCCAATTCTCCATGTAGCATCAGAACAAGCCCCTGGCATTGGAGTGCAGTGTCTTCACATTTTCAGCGTTGGAGAAACTAAAGCTCAGTCTATTTTATATATTTTAGTAATAAGCATCAACTAAGTCTGAGATGACACAGGTCGGTAAAGGCTGAAACCAGAGCCCACGATCTCCAGAACAACGTCCCATTAGTATGGGAAGCCATATAGTCCTGTATCTATGTATTCTTCTACATCTATTTGCCCAGGCCCATTTCCCCAGTCCAGATTTATTTCTGGAGGTAACTATTTATGTTGCTTAGGATAATGTAATATTTTCTCCTCCATCACCATGGCATCCTCTGTACTTGACTTGGTTTTGTAGAAATGCTGCTGGCTTTACTTCCTGATCAAATCATGTATTTCTTTCCTTGTTTGATTGATTGATTGATTGGAGAGAGAGCACCAGCAAGGGGGGAGGGGCTGAGGGAGAAATAGCCCAAGCAGGGAGCCTGATGCAGGGGTTTGACCCCAGGACCCTGAGATCATGACCTGAGCTGAAGGCAGATGCTTCATCCACTGAGCCACCAGGTGCCCCTCAATGCATGCATTTCTAATAAACCTCTTCTAAGACTAGGTTCCATCATTATGAGGGTTAATGGAAGCAAGTTCTCTCCATCCTGGTCCATGCAGTATTGGAAGAAAGAATGAAGGGCACGAGGAGGAAGGCAGAAGGTTCAGGACCCAGTCTCCCCCAGTTTGAATCTGGTTCCGTCGTTAAGTGGCTGTGTGTTATTATTTGGCAAGAATTACCCAGTGGCTCTCAACTTTGCCTTTTTCCCTCCTCTTGGGAATAATAACTGTCACCTGACTCATCACGTTGTGAGGATTAAATGAGTTAATCTATGTGAAGTGCTTAAAACAGTGCCAGCCACGATGCAGCTAATACATGGCACTTGTTCTTCCGAACTGTTCTTTATAGATGTCTGATTTGGAATATAAATAATCATGACAGTGGTTGTTAGGCTGCAGCTTCTTACTAGCTTGTTACTGGTTAGTGACCATAGTTGGAATGAAAAAGGATGGGTTAGGTCCCACCAGGCTTCAAGATCGGGGGCTCCAGCTCAGGGCCATTGAACTAACCAATTACAAATCTCTCCTCACCAAGCTCACACAGCTTGGTACCACCCCAAATTCACTATATCCACAGTCGCTGAGATGTCCCTGTGTCGGTTTCTCGGAAAGGTCTTTCACAGGCCCCCGAACCCAAGACACCTGTAGTAGGTCTCAGGTTAAGAGCCCCCATGGGAGTATTAGCATAAAATCTGGGAAGGGGATACTAGAAGGCTTTTTTCCTATCTTTTAAAAATACTTTATTTATTTATTCATGAGAGACACACACACGAGAGAGAGAGAGAGAGAGAGAGAGAGGCGGGACACATGCAGAGGGAGAAGCAGGCTCCTTGTGGGGAGCCCGATGCGGGACTTGATCGTGACCCTGGGATCACGACCTGAGCTGAAGGCAGATGCTCAACCACTGAGCCACCAAGGCACCCACTTGCTCTCTTTCTTACTTTCTTTTTTTTCCTGCTGGCTAAAATAACTTTAATGCTAGAAAAAAGATGGTCTTCCCAGTTTTCAACCCTAAATGGATTAAGAGGAGGATTGATGTAGCTTTTTATGGTAGATTAAGATCCAAGAATCCACAGTGTCTATAAGAGGAATAGTCACAGCAAGTTTGGCTCGATTTTAGCAGAAAGGGTTCGGGATGTGAGGTTCAGCTGTTGAATTTAAAACCCGAACTGCCGCTCGCCACCTTGGAATAGTCATGGTCACCATAGGCCCCTACTGTTCATTGTGTGTCTGCTTATGCGAGGCAATTGCTTCGAGATTAGTGAGTCAGCAGTACTGTGCTAAGCACCTTTGGCCACCCACACGATCTCATTTAACCCGCAAAATGACTCGTGACATTTGAAACGTTATTTCTTCTTGACCCAAGAACACATTGAGGCTTACTTACAGATACTTAAGTGCCGTTTGCAATGTATTTGTAAAGGATAGTTTGGGTTTCATATGAGAGAAAACCCAAAAGAGGAGTCAAAGAAGTGTCGTAGCCATAGGCCAGGGCAGGTGTAGAGCTTCTGTGAAGCACTAGGGACCAAGTCCTTCTACTCTCCTATTTTCTTACCATCGCTGGTGTGGCCCTCCTCGTTGGGCCGCGATGGCCACCAGATAGCCAGCCACCAGAGCCAGAGGCAGGATGGAGGAGGGACAAGCAGGAAAAGAGCAAAGGGCACACGCCAGCCATGTCTTAAGAAG